TCTTGACACACATGCACAGTAGTGGTAACTGGGGTAGGCCGTGGACGTCACAAGACATTATACAGACAGTGAAGAAAACCCGTCTGGATAACAGCAGACTGACTTCACGTAAAATATACGACAGGTCTGGACCACTCGTAAATTTTGTTCGTATCTGAAAAAAATCGTAGAATACGAAAACATTGGTGAATGCCACAAATTCTCCTAAATCACTTGTACGCACAATTTAAGAACAAATCTGTGCGTACGAACGGTTCTTGCATGAGGACCACTGTTTGTATCTATTAAAACTTTTTCTGAAAACTTCAACAAACTTGTGCTCCTTATGCTTCCTTATTCTAATTGAAATTCCAGCTACTCTTTAGTCGTTTTACTGAAAATTTCAGCTGTTTTAGCCATTTTACTACTAATTATCTCGTTTTTTTGTGCTCACATGCTGTTCTTCTGCTAATTTTACAATTTTTACAACACTTTCTCTATCTGGGAGCTTATTTCAACTTGTGGCTGCTACCTTTAGCCTATTCTATGCTAATTTAAGCTTATTTATGCTACTTTAGCTATAGATCTGCTTCTTTCTGCTATTCTTTTGCTTTATTTTACTTTTTATGCCTAATGCTATTTATGCTTCTTACAGATGTTTTCAGCTATATCTAGCTATTTTAGCTCGTAGCTTTTAGCTGTTTTCTGTTTTCAGCTAGATACGTGCTCCTATTTTTTTTCTGCAAAGTTAGTCTTTTTTGTTTCTTTCAGCTTTTCAAAGTGAGCTAACATTAACACCTTTTACTATTAAATATTTCCAGCTCAATTTCAGCAGCTTTCAGTTTAAGTTTTCAGCATGAAGCATTCACACTAGCATTTTTACAGGAAATGTAATTTCTCTATTTTTTTTTACTACTCCACTTACTGAGGCTCTTACTGGTTCGATGTCAGCGTGTTCTTGGACTCTTTCTTGGCTATCATTTGTGTCAAGATGTCTTCTGAGAAAAGGTTATTGCCATCATTAAGACAAAAATGTTCTTTTGAGATGTTTTATAGCTAAATCTAACAATCTCTTGGCTCGTTTCTTTGACACAGTTGGCTCAGCAGTGAATTTGTGAGTAACGGTGAGCTTCTCTCCTCAGTAACGTCGTGGAGAAGTGTGTGATCCACTCCTCGCGTGCAGAGAGAGCTCTCCTGATCGATGAAGTGTGCTGCCAGAAAGACGGGCCCCACAGCGCCCTGTACACCATGATGAAGGACCAGTACGCAAACTATGTCGTCCAGAGAATGATCGACATGGCAGAACCCGCTCAGCGCAAAATCATCATGCACAAGGTGGGTCACCTGAAAAACCGCACACGTGAAGACCTTTCAGGTCTGGTCACCTGTAAACTGGAACAATCAGTGAGGAAGTTTAAAGGTTAAATCGTGGAAAATTTGGGTCAAATCCTGCAGACATTCAGACCACTTCTGCCTCTTTCTACCATATTAAAACATTATTAACACACAACTTTGATGGCATGACTGTTATTGTTTGCACTGTGTTGTCATGGCAGCACGTGAGTTTACTAATCCAATAAACAAGAATCCTAACTCTGCAATTGAGAAACCGCTAAACAGAGGGAAATATTTGAGGAAGGTTAGCGGGACCAACAGAAACCTGTTTTTGGTTTTCTGTTTGATTTGAAGGTGGGTGGGATCATTATGGCAAATCGACCAATCCAGACCAGAGTTATAGCTCTGTCTAATGTGATACTTCCAGTTTGACCCTTTCAGAATAAAAGCATTTCTTTGATCAAGTTTGCATTTTTATGAATACAACAAATGGCAAATACTTTTTCTACCATCGCCATCTATTGAATTCAGTATTTCAGTATTGTTAAATGTTTTATTTCTTGTAGGTGGTATGGATCAACAAACCTTATAGTTTAAATTAATGATCAAATTTTAAAATGTCCAAGAATGTGTGTAGTTTCAAACATGATTGAAGCCTCGAGGAGGAGCTCGGTGTTCATTTCTAAGCTTGTTCTGTGTTTTGTAATGTAATTATAGTCTCCAGTGTAATTTAAGCACCTGTAGGTCTTTTGTTTGGCTGAAAACAGAACTTTGTGTTTCGGCAGCTTCACCTCGGCTGCAGCTGTTCCCTCCACACAGACAGAACCGTCATCGTTTATTTTGAATTAGTCATAAATCTCTCATTTCCTCTTGCTCCACACCTTCAGGCTCTTTCTCTCTCGTCTTTATTGAGGTGATCAGCTGTAAAACAACAGTGAGTTGAAAACAAACTAAGCTTTAGTTTTTTCCAGATTACAATAATTTCAGAAATCTTATTTGGTAGTTTCAACCTGTGACTGTAAGAAAATGTATGGAGCTTAAAGTAGGGCTATAAGATTTGTTCAAAAAAAATTTTAACAGAAAACAATGATTTAAACTGAAACAATTTGAAACCGCAAAAGATTTGAAACTGACAAAAGGCATATTTTTGATTACATGATACATCATTTAAATGACATGCCGAAATTTTTAATTATATGACACAACCTGCTATATTTTTTGATTATGTAATAAAACGACCTGCCATAATATAAAATTGACTCAACCTTCAGTATAATGTTAATTACATGATATGACGATCTGTCATATTTAAAAATGGCACAACGGCCTCCCATACATTGTTAATTATATGATACAACAGCATGCCTTTTTTAAAATGTGGCCCCAATTTAGCTCCATAAAATACAAATAATGCCTAGATATGAGCTTCATCCTATATTATCTCTATAATGATGCAAAATTAAAAATAAAATGGTTACATCTATGTTGACTTAGTCAAAATTAAAACTTTATTAGAGGATACTAGTTTTCATTGGTAAATTTCCAAAGAAAAGCTGCATTAAATAGAAAATATTTGATTATTTCATCTGGAAATTGATCATACTTTTAAAGTTTATTTAGGTTTTTATGGTATGATTTAGAAAAGTGTAAATGTCCAGCTGTAACCTGAAAGTTGTGCCTCATCAGGTGTTTTGTTTGTTTGTTTGTTTGTACTTTAATTGATATTTTTGTCAGTTCAGATTGAGATTATAGGCTTCTTCTCTTTCAGATCCGGCCTCACATCGCCACTTTGCGTAAGTACACATATGGGAAGCACATTCTGGCCAAGCTGGAAAAGTACTACATGAAGAGCGGCTCAGAACTGGGCCCCATCGGCGGCCCCACAAACGGACTCATGTAGTCGACGCTGCCGGGTCCCCCCAGAGAAGAGGAGGAGCTGGAACGCCAAACCCCCTGTTCTGTGAGAGATCGCCCCCTTTTAGCCATAAGGCTTCGCCTTCGACACTCTGTCATCCCCTGTTTTCAGGAGGAGGGGGGTGAACTACCAAAAAATAAAATAAAAAAGACAAGTCAATTTCACCTAAGAATGCTGTGACAACTGACGCCTGCCACTCTGCCACCCCTGCTGGGGGTCCCATCATGGGCCTCAGGGGGCTGCACAGTCAGCAGGCTGTTTTATTTTTCTCTTCTCCGTTCTTTCCTGGGTAAAGCACAAACCCACTGAGGATGTATTGGACTGGTTTTCATATTATCTTGTACATTTCCTTTTTTTTTACCTTGTAAATTGTGTGTAAAGATAAACAAAAAAACAATTACACATTTGCTGAAATTTACAATTCTTACAATTAACACCAGCAAGTGACTTTATAAAATGAAACTGAGTGATCCTTTTAAAACAGAATTCTATGGTTTTTTTCTAACCAGATTTATTATGTCAGCTGTCCTGATGAAGTCAAGGTAATCGAACTTTATATTTGTATATTGTCCCATGCCAAAGCAGCTAATGAGTTAGTTTTCAAACAGCACTACAGACCGGACCCTTCATTCTGCACGAGAGCAGTTGAAAGGTCCTCAAGACTTGATTTTCTTTTTTTTTTAATAGCTTGGCGTTGGAGATCAGTGTTTTAGTGTTCTGGTTGTGGCTTTTTCTTGCCTCTTTTCCAGATTTGGTTAAAGGGGATGGGGGGGCATGTTTACTCCAGCAGTTGTTTCGGTACTAAATCTGCCACAAGCTGATAAAACCTGAGCTGCTGCGTTCGTTGAGCCCTGTTCTGAGCCCTTTTTTATTTCTTCCTTTCCTTGATCCAGGTGATCATTCTGGGTTTATATAAGAAAATTTCATAAAGAGGCGGAGCATGAGGTTTGGTTGTACAGCTGATGTGGTTTCGTCTTAAAGTGACCATGTAGGGAGCTTTTTGAGGGGATGGGGGGTGGGGGCGGGGGGTCTGCATTAGCATGCTGTGACCAGTTTTAATATTTGAAATAATTATTTTTTTCTTTATCATGTTTTGTGTAACATCTGTCTCGTAGATGAACACTGCCCTAGAAAACGGTATATTTACGTACTGAATAATCATCTCTTTGCGTAGATGTAGTTTAGCGATGTATAGCATTTTTTTATGTATGAGTTTAAAAACAAGGAAGTTGGGTTGGGGGATTGTTTGCAACGGGATACTCACCAACCTAAAGTTCAAGAGCTGTCGAGAAAAGAAAATGTAAAAAAATAAAAATAATAATTTGTGAAGTTTATCAGCTTTGTTCGTCTGAGGTGAAATGAACTAGAAGTAGTTGATGATTTGAAGAAAGGGAAGTTTAAAGAACCTATTGTAATGGTTCTGTTTTTTTGTTAATATATAAAGATTTTTTTAATTAAAACTATTCTTATTAATTGGTTGGGTATGCAAGTGCAGTATATTGGTGGCCGGTTGAGGTGGGCGGGGCCATTGAAAGCTATACAATTCACCTGTAATGCTCGTAGTGACGGCTTCTTTGCTTCATAAGAATTGTAGATTACGTGTAGTATATGTGCAGTTAAGTGTAAGATTAGTTGAAAATATGTCTAGTCGTGGTGTTTGACAGGCCTTGCTCTAAATTTCTAGTGATGCTTTTATTTTGTCTGTACAGTTGTACATTTGTAAACGTTGATGCTGTAAATGGGACGTCTTTTACACTTTTTTTTTTTTTTTCCGGGGAGACAAAGCCTAAAAATGTCCATTTAGATGTGTGTATATTCATCACTCCTTTCACCCCCTCACTTTTTGAATATAATGTATACAGTTTTATTTGATCGAGTGTTATTTTAAAGAAAAAACAAGAAGAAGAAAAAATATATATGGCTTTGCAATCTGGCATGGTTTTTGTTTTTAATTTGTTATATAAAGGCCAGCCTCTATTTGTACTGAAGCTGTAACACCCACTGTTGATAGTCTTCTGTGTGACAAGTTTAAAAGAGACAAAAACAGCAACGATCTAGAAGCGAGGCTGCGGTCAGTCCTCTCTACCACCATGGAAACGTCACAGGATACGACAAGAATTATTTTTGTACAGAAGAGTGCTGTATTTTGGAACAGCTTCTACCTTGTAAGCAAAAGCGTTGTAAAATATTGTCAATTATATAAATATGAACATATGAGTTTTGTCACACTGTCGAAGTCATGTACATTTTCAGGTGGCCTTATGTACATTTCCAGATGTTAGATGAAGAAAACAAATTCAATTTTTGGAAGCAGAATTGTGACTATGTATGATTAAACTGTTCTTCTAACATTTTGTTTGCTTTCTTTGCACGTCTGGTTTGATTTGAGCTGTTATTTTCAGGAGACAGAATTAAAGTAATCCTATGACTAGATAATAAAAAATATATATCAATTTACTGTGGCAAAATGCCACCTAAAAGCTAACAGCTAGCTGAAAGCTAAAATTGGAACAATAGTTAAAAGCAACAGGCTACCTAGAAACCAAAAGTAGCAAAACACTATATAAAAGAAAAAGGTATCAAATTGCTAACTATAAATTATAACTAGCAAATGGCTACCTAACAGCTAAAAGTAGCAGAACAATATTTGCTAGCTGAAAAAAGTTGAAATGTTAGGTAAAAGCTAAATGTAGCTAAAGGTTACCTACATAGAAAACAGTGGCAAAAGGCTACAGTAGATAATAGACACATTTTAACTTATTAACTAGAAAATAAAAGTAGCAAAACAACTTCTAAATGCAGCAAAAGAATAGCTAAAATTAGCATCAAATTACTAGCTAGGGCAAGAAAGGGTAACGAAAGGCTAGGTGAAAGCTAAATGTAGTTAAAGTTTACCTACATGGAAAACAGTGGCAAAAGGCTAGATAATAGAGGGACATTTTAACTTATTAGCTAGAAAATAAAAGTAGCAAAATGCCACATAAAAGCTAAAAGTAGCAAAACAATTACTAAATGCAGCAAAAGAATAGCTAAAATTAGCATCAAATTACTAGCTAGGGCAAGAAAGGGTAACGAAAGGCTAGGTGAAAGCTAAATGTAGTTAAAGTTTACCTACATGGAAAACAGTGGCAAAAGGCTAGATAATAGAGGGACATTTTAACTTATTAGCTAGAAAATAAAAGTAGCAAAATGCCACATAAAATCTAAAATTAGAACAGTAGCTAAAAC